ATATCCCTGAAAGAGCCAAACTTTTGCAGCCCCAGAATGAGAATAGGAACACCCAGAAATCCACAGGATTTCCTTGGCTCCGCCCCCTGGACCCTGGACTGCATTCTGTCTGCCTCACACCAAACGTTGCACAGGCATTGAATTGGAAGCAATTTGCAGGGGCTGGCTTGCATGCACTCCACCCAAATTTCACTCACGCAATTTTGCTTCCAGACTCGATCTACTTTGCACCTGTACTTTGTGAAATGCAGGGTCTGCTAGCATTTCAAATCATTCAGAGACTTGATTTCAGCTTGGTTCTCTCCCTGGTCAGGTCTGGGCATGGGGAAGAAACCTTGCTGATTGCAAGAGAGCTAAATTCTGGTTAGATCTTTGCATTCGTTCATCATCTGCGAGATTTTCTGCCTCTCTGGTGCGTTTCCAGGTGCAATGAAGCACATAAGTGGCATTAGAACCTCCTTCGTTCTTTCCCTGACCCTTCAACAAGTCCATGCCGTTGTGTGGGCAGAGAATCCAGGGGCCAAACGGAGAAAATCCCAGAGTTTTCCTCTTCCCAAATATTTATTATATTTTAATATTTTATTATTTATTATCACACACCTCAAATAAAACAACACCATTCAGACAGTGCTAGGCCTTCCATCTTTGAATACATCCAAAACATACTATCTCCTGCACATAGACTACCAGGATTCCCAAGAGGACGGGGCAGAGCCCAGCTTGTTCTTAGCAAGCGAAGTGGTTCAGTCCACTACCACAAGGCTCTACAAATGTGGGGATGCACGAACAGAAGTCTCTTAAATAGTGCATCCAGTTTCCCAGTCACCCCTTCTTTGGCCATGCAATTGGCATGGTAGGGAGCAGGGACAAGGGAAGAGTTCCCACAGCACCCTGAGGAATTCCTTCCATCAGTCCCATATTCTTCGACGAGGGAGCAGTATGGTACAGGAGAAAAGGGTTTATGGATTAGGGAAGGACACACAAAAGGAACAAGAGGGGAAGCCTCCGACCCTGAAAGATGCACAACAACTGATTGCCAAGACTGCCTCTGACCATGTGCAGAGACTGCAGGAAGCACATGCACACATGATACTAGTCACAGCTGGATTAGACCGAAAACACAGCTCCAGCACTGCTGGTGGGAGAAGGGCAAACATGAGACCCTTCACAAAGTCCAAGGGTGCCCATCTGCTTGGCTGCAGGCCTGGTGTGATGAGACAGAGAGGAGAGAGGAGAGCAGAGCAAGGCAGGACAAAAGGAGCAAAGTTCTCTTGACAGGATGTATCCCTGATCCTTCCTGCACCCAAGTTCTCGCCTCGGTCGTGTTCTCCGAGTGGATCCAACCCCTTCTCATTCATCCTGTGTTGCACTTGCTGAATTGTGTACAGCATGCTGCAGTGCACACATCTTGCCAGAATACCTGTGTGTGTGTGTGTTTTCCCTGCTCGGGCATGTGCATTGACCAAACACTACCAAAATACAATAGTGCTCTTATGCAGATTTTTTTAGCAGGGCTGGAGAAGGCCTCTCTGTGTCTCTAAGGCACAGTACAGAAAGCATCTCAGCTCTGCACCCAAGCAGAGCTGACGCATCTGTGGAGCAAGAGACCGGTTAAATCGACCAGCTGCAAGAAGTTGCACACACTTGCAAAAATTAATGCAGAACCCTTGGCAACATGTCCTAATAGTGAAGGGCAGGGAATTCAGACTGGGAAGATGGCACATCTCCACTCTGATTCTATTGCTGAAGAGAAGCAAGATCAAGTCCTGCAAAACTGGGTGAGAGCACACTTGAGAATCCCTGTGAAGCTTATTGCAAGGGGAGAAAGGGTTACAGGACTAAAAATGAACAGTCTAGAGCCAGACACAGATGGTGTCTTGTTCTCTACTCTTTGGGGGCACAGAAGTGGGCATTTCTCCAAGGGAGGATAATTTCTTTTTGAGGGCTAGGGTTTAGTCTAAGCAATAGCAGCATGATTGCAATTTTGCATTCTACATGCTGCTCTGAGCCAAGGGTCATTCCTGGGCAACGTCCGTGTGATAAGAGAATGGAAACTACAGAGAGGAAAATGCTACTGAGGTGGGAGTTAAAGAAGCAACATTTCTTTAACAGCTTATCAGAAAAATAGGCTTTCTGAGAATATTATCCTGGCTCTGGAAAGCATTCCTCTACTGACCACAAAGGTGGAAAGTTAGACTCAGGTATTTGTCCAGGATGGATCAAACTAGAGGCCAGTATGACCCAGTCCCGTATTTTGAATTTGTCTGATATTTAATATTGTCAGATTCACAGAACTCTTTGGGAAAGTATGTGTATATGCTAAACCAATCCAATCCAAATCATGGCTGGTCCCATTAGTGCCTGAAGAGGGCGCTGAGGTTTGTCCATGCCATGCAACAGGGATGGCATGCACTCTTCGTCTGAATGCAAAACCTCCCAAAGGGTTCGAAAAACTCCGTAGCTTTTGGGGTGGAAGAATGCACATGTCTGTCAATGCATTTAGTGACTCTTGAGCTTGCTTCAGCTTGAGAAAGATCATTGTTTGATCATCAATTTTTTAACAGTATATATTATTGTAACTCAGTGTATTTTTTGTATTTTTGTATTTAGTGGTAATTTATTATGTTCTATTGTATTTCAATGTATCTTATTGTGTTGTAAGCCGCCCCGAGGCTTCGGCAAGGGGCGGCATAGAAATGTTATAATAATAATAATTATAATAATAATTATAATAATTATAATAATTCATGAGCAGAGCAGAGGAGAGGAGAGGAGAGCAGGGGAGAGGAGAGGGGAGGAGAGGAGAGAATGTGGCATGCCCCAGAGACTTTCTGATATAAGGTGTTTTAGTTATGCTTACTTGGAAGCAAGGAAAGCTATTGGCATACACTTTGAAGCACCTTTGTTAGAAGAAACAACATTGAGAACTGGTCCAGGGCAGATTAAAGTCCTGGTCAAATCTAGATTTGGATTCCACATTAAACGAGAAAAGACATGCTTTTCCCAGAGAGTGATGCTTAGAGCTGGAAAGATGCTGACGGCGTAATCCAGATTGTGCAAAACCAAGAGCCACGTTACTCTGCAAAAGTCACACAGCAAGGGAGAAGAGAAAGACGCACCTATCAGACAGGTCTAGGGAGCGCCTGCTCTCGAGGGAGGGCTGGCGGCTTGTATGTTTGCTTGACCCAGGAGCAGACTCAGCGTCGCTGTGTCCATTTGCGGCAGAATCTACACTACCAGAGCGTCTGCCGGCGGAGGGTTAGGGTTGGGGGGGAAGAGTAAAAGGGTCAGCATATGAAACTCCAGAGAGACCAGACCACCTCCCTGTCACTCCCACTGAATTCTGGAGGGTGTGTGTGTGTGGGGGGGGAGAACGCATTTGCCCCCCCAGAATCAGGAGACGAGCTGATGGCAGAGGGCAGAATCCGTCCTGGGACAGACTTCGCCAAGGGCTGGGGTGAGGAACAGCCACGTGAATCAAAATGAAAATTGTATTGCTGCTTCGCCCAAGCTTGTCCCCTGTTCATCTCAGTTCTCATTTCCATTTGTGACAGCTGCCTGCTTCTCCAAACAGGAAGTCCACCCAAGTCAACCAAGGGCTAAAAGTGGGATTTGCACAAATCTCGCAACCTTTGCACCCACATCCTCCACAGCTGAGCTTAGTCAGTTCCTGGAAGGGATTAGCACAAATGTGGAAATGTGTGCTGAACAAACCGGGCAGGTAGGAGTGAAACCAACACAAGTTCATGTTTGACCACTGGCAGACACTTTCAACAGAGCTGTGCTCAAGTTTGGGGCTTTGAACTGTGTGTGTTCATGTGCTTTGTGAGCAAAAAAGAAGTCATTCGCATACCTCTGTAAGGTTTTACCTACCTTTCTAACAAATGCATGAATAAAAATAATCTGGAGGTAACTTCTGAAGCACTTAACTAATTTGGTGCCCAAAAAATATGCAAACCAAGCAAGTAAAGTCTGGATAGTTGACAGGGTGGTCAGAAAAGCTATCTGTAATTGCCAGGTTACACATAGATCACAGTGCAACTGGATGTCTGTCTGTCTGTCTGTCTGTCTGTCTGTCTGTCTGTCTGTCTGTCTGTCTAGAATTCCAGTTACAGTAGGAGTCTAACAGCAACTGGCCGTCTAAGAATTAAGTGTCTTATGTTACCTTTGGCCTGCATCACACCTTCCAACCCCAAGAAAGGCTCTCTGTCTTTACTATGCACTTCAGAGGCCTCCTGTTTAGTTAAGGCAAACACCAAAGGGATCTTTAAACCCCCTTCTGGTTTTGCCCAGCTGGAATTCCTGAGACAAAGTAAATTAGAAACTCCTACCTTCTCACCATAGCAAAACCATCCCCAGGAATCCGCGCATGAAAGCCAAGCCAGGGAATTGTGGGGGCAGTGGGGCAGCGTAGGGAATGTTCAGCCCTAGATGTGATGGTTTTGCAAGTGGAGAAGGGGTATTTCTTCACTGCATCCCCAACTGCCATGCTGGACTTCTCTGTTTATGGCAAGACCAACCGCTTGCCAGCCCTGACTAAGAAGAACCTCCCAGAGCTCATGTGGGTTTGCATTTTAAGCTCGGTTAAATCATGCCATTGGCCAGTTTACAGGAACAAAACAGTTTTTGCATCTGCCACCCCACAGCTTTATCAGCTGCCACTTCCCAGGTGCCCATTCCGGGGAGCTGGGCCCTGAGATCCAGCCCTCGTTGCCCCACTGCAGGGAATCAAAATCTGCAGGGGGAGACCTCCCCTGGGGTCTTTCCTGCCATTTATGCAGTGGCGTCAGGGTGCTTCAAGAGAACCCAGAAGCTTTGGCTTGGTTTAGGGAGCTCCTTTCCCATCACCAAGCCCTTGCGTCTGCTAGCTCAATCCTTTCCTCTAGAAAGATCTAGAAATTCTTCTAGAAGAATTCTTGTAGATTTCTTCTAGACCCCACTCTGATCTGTGGGCATTTCTTCTGCCTTCCCAGGGAAGGCTGCAGGCTCCACCCCTCTACCTGATGGGCTGGTGGTCCGAGTAGTCCATTTCATAGCTCTGCATGGAGTCCGTGTAGGAGTCCCGGGAGAGTCGGTGCTGGTGTCGCAGCGGGTACTGGTGCACCGAGGCATTGGGCTGGGAGGTGGTGTAGTACGGAGGTGGAATACTGTTGCTGGTCTCGCTGCGGTAGTCGCTGTCACGGTCATCCACAGTGCTGTCCAGGTCATCATCTGGAATAGGGGCCCAAGTCCACAATGTCAGACACTGGAGCGAAACATGGCGTCGCAACAGAGGGCTTGTGAATGCGTCTCCCCACCCACCTTTTGGCTATAATAGAACGGAGTGGAGAGGGGATGGGGGGTCACGAGAGATGCACATGATGGGATACAGGTGGAAGATCTGAGAAACCCTCACGATATGACCCTAGTTCTACTTGTTTCCTACATCCTGGCATGGCCAAACACACGGTTGGAGCTGATCTCATAGCTGAATCATAGCACAGTAGAGTTGGAAGGGGCCATGAAGGCCATCCGGTCCACCCCCCTGCTGTTGCAGGACACCAGTTTACATGATCCCACTTGGGGGGCTGCCCAGTTTCTTTCTGAATGTCTCCAGTGTGGGAGAGCCCCCCACCTCTCTGGGCAGCTGCTTCCACTGTCCTGTCGCTCTGACCATGAGGAAGCTTTTCATGATGCCCAGCCTGAATCTGGGTTGTTGCAACTTGAATTGATTTTTCTGTGTCCTGCACTCTGGCATGAGCAAGAAGAAATCTTGACCTTCCTCTCTGTGACAGCCTTTGAGGGACTTATATAGGGATACCGTGTCCCCACTGAGCCTTCTGAAGGCGGAACATGCCCAGTTCTCTCAGTCTCTCCTCACAGGGCAGCGTTTTCAAACCCTGGTTGGAGAGTTCCTTCTTTACCTGACTTCTCCCACTTCCTCCGCCACCAATTTGGGTCACTTTTTAATTTTGGGGGCTCAGCTTTGAGAAGCATTCAGTGGCTTCATAAAGAAGCCACCCCACCCCTTTTTTAGTCCAGGCAAGTCTAGAACCTCTGGCCCATTTTGCATTTGTGCATTTTTCTAGCCGAGTCTTCTGACCAGCATTTTGGGGCACGTTTCAGCGGGTGGAAAGTCAACTTCCTTGGCCGTTCGTGGCACCCCAGGAGAACATATTTCCTGATAAATCCAAACTGCCTTCCAGTTGTGGGGGGGGGGGGATTCCCTTGTCCTCAGTGATGTCATTTTGTAGCAGAGTTGCATAAATAGGGCTGGGGTGACTTTCCATGTCAGGATGGCGCCTAACGGGATGGGCTTTGCCTGCACAACTACTCTGGGGGGAGGGGGACGGGGGGGGCAGGTGTGATACAAGCTCTCCAGCTGCCCCGGGAACAATCCAAAACCTCAATTTATGGCACAGTGGGCACATATTCCGACTCTGGAATTTGCTCCCCAGAGAGGTTCGCCTGGTGCCGACTTTATATGCTTTTCAGCACCACGTGAAAACCTTTTTATTTGCCTGCCATATTAAGGATTGAGGAATTTTAACTTGGTTTTAATATATTTACAGTTGCATTTTGTTTTTTGTTCACTATTATATATGTTGTTTATTTATTGTTCTTAACATAAGCCGTCCTGGGATGATTTCCGTGTAGGATGGGGTAAAAATGTTTCAAATAAATAAATACTTCCGGAGCTCCTGAGGCCTCAATATCAGCATGGGGAAAGCCTTTCTCTGACTGACTCTAGGGATTTGTTTTGGGGGTGGGAAGCCACCCGATTCCCGGGGCTCAGCTCCCTGGACTTGGATCCACTTTGTCATGGCCAATAAGCCTGAGCTCCTTCCATGACAAAGTGGATCCAAGCGTTGGTTGAGAGGAACTTGAGCCGCGTCGCTCCATGGATCTCCAAGCTCTGAAGGTTAGCTAGGAACAATTACTGATTCCCACAGAAACTGGGAGAATTGTGGGGCTGGTATGGGGGGCACTCTTAGGGAGTAAATCCCCTGTGAGCCAACTTGCCTTCTTGACCAAAGACTCATAGTCAATCACTTCTTGACGACGGGGTCAACTGGGGTTTTGTGCGATGGAGACAGATCAACAATAGAATGCGGACTTCACCTACAGAAATACCTGTTCATAGTCCTTTTCTGTGGAGGCTATCGACACAACGAAGGACTGATTCACAGGTCTAGGACCATCACATCATTGCTCAACTCTAGTTGTGGATGGCCTCCACTAAAATAGCTTTCTGCCGAAGTTCCCCTCTGCATCAGACCTATGTTATTTGAGGCATTCAAGCTCTACCTTAATATTACCTGTCAGAAGCACCTCTGGCCCTACCTCCAGCCCCCTTCACATCTGACCTCCTCGCTTGCCCCAGACATTCTCAGCACGAATGTGTCCCCATCACTGGGGTCACCACCAGACAAGGACGAAACAGGGAAGCATTCAGATCCATCCAACACATTCCTGGTGTGGAGTTATGGTAGATTGACAGCTAGGAGACCAAGCTGAAATCAGGAAGGAGTCCCAAGTCAAAGCAAGCATCTACCATCTCTTCGCTAGGTGGCCTCTCCGCTCAATCTCCCCTTCTGCCAATTGGGAGGGTAACAAAGATGGGCTCAAATATTTAATCTCTGGTGTCCCTGAGGGAAGGACCATAACCTATCATGCATAAGATTTCAAACTTTAGGGGAAGCTACTCGCTGGTGAGGACCGGTTCAGCAATGGAACCAGCTGGTCCGGCTGGAGGCCTTCAAGCTGAAGTTGGACAATTGTTGGTTAGAGAAACTATAGCATTGAACTGGGAACTGGATTAGATAACCCCTCCAACTCTGTCACCATGCTGACTTACTCAATAATGAGCATAAAATACTTCGAAAGTTTAATACTCTTCTTCCGAGGCATGCTCCCAACTTTTCTAACTGTTCTGGGAAGATCTGGCTCTCCTCTGGGTGTCAGATGCTTTCAGTGTCTTCTGAATGGGGCAATGAAAGACTGGACCCCAAGGAGGATAAAGGGAGGGGAAGGTATTTAAGACAGATTGTCAGAAATGGGAGGAATTTGTATGCAGCTCTGGGGACAGGTAGGGGTAGAATACTTACTTTGTTGATCGCCCCAGCCAAAATAATTCCAGTTGCCTACAGAAAAAAATGAAGAAGACATGTCCCTTTAAGAGACAAGCCAACTCTAAATATAACCCAATCTACTAGTCCCAGGGGAGGAGGGGACTGGTGGTGGGGAACCCTGAGACTAGATGTGCTTCAGAAGCTCACAAGCACGGCATGGAGGGAACAACCCTTCCCCGTTGAGGAACTCTGATCTTGTGGTCTTCAGAGATGGGACACCTCCGAATGCAGAGGCGCTATTTTGCCCTCAAGGATCTCCATGCTTTCAACAGATCCTTCCTCCAGAGGTTTCTCCAATAACCTGGAGGTCCCCAATATGACAGCTGCGGACACTGCTGTTTTTGTAGATGCCTCCCTTGCTGCCCACCAAGTTCCTGGGTCTCCTCCCTTGTTGAGCTTTGTACATTTTCCCAACAAAACAAGCAAATGAACATTAAACTGGGAGGGTGGGGTGGCACCAGGCAAAAGATCAGTTCCCTTTCCTTTGGAGTCCACCCAACAGCCAGACAAGAGGATGTTTGGAGGATGGTAGAGAGCAGACAGTCAACTTCTCATCACAGATGCATGAGAATTACATGCCCAGAGAAACAGCAAACCTTGCCCCAGGCAAGCACAGGCCAGTGGAAAATAAATAAAATGTGCTTCTGTTTATCTTCTCTCCAATTGTCCTTTAATTTTCACAGAAGGCCTTGGAAAGTCCTTGGTAAGGACTTCTTTGGGGGTCATTTGTGCAAAGCTGGAAAACTTTCTCCAATCTCCCATCTGGTGGGAATTCAGTTTGTGCAAGTTTCAGCTGCCACAAATGCAATCAGGAAATGGGCGAAGGATGGGTGTAGTGATGTGTGGAGAATCTCGGAGAACTAATTAGAGATCCAAGTGAGACCCTGGACACTGACTCTCCCCATCCCTACCTCTCATTATCCATTGTGGAGGACAATCAGGATTCTTTCCTTCTGCCTTTCTTTTGTTCTCCTCATTCAGATATCCGGCTGCCTATGGTTGGAAACAGGACTCTGGGCTGGGTGGATCCATTTGGATCCAGCAGGGTTCTTTTTATGCCTGTGTTCTGTTGTAATGGTGTGACTATCAGGTTAAACAAGGATCCTTACCCTTCCAAACAGGGCCAATGTTGGCCCGAGACAAAGCTCAAAAGGAGCTTCCGCCCTTTCGCTCCCTCTAGCGCTTCCCCTCCAACTTTCTGTCCCCAACAAACAGTGCCCCAACTTTCATACCACTGCTCAGAAGAGGGTGAGGAGACATATAGGAAGAAATGGGAATAGGAAGACACAGAGAGGAGAAACAAGGATGGGTTTTCTTGCTGGCCAAAATGTTAACTGCTCCTCCTTTGGGCAAATCTGCCAAATGGACTCAGCAAAACACCAACTCCTTGACGTTCTTGCAAGGGGAGGACATGGAAGGGCAGATCTGTGGTTCGGGGGCGTTCCATAGCCATGCTGTAGTTATAGTAGACTTCAAGGGCAAGAAGTGAAGCAACATGCACAACTTTAACACAAAAGTCAGACACTTACAACATTGTGAGCTGGGTACTGGAAGTGGCTGTTTCTACGTGTCCAAGAATGAATCACGTTGGAGTTGTGGGGAGAGAAGAAAGAAAACCCAATGGGCAATGACTATTCAAGAAAACCGCAATCTCACTTTTTTAATAGGTAACCCACAGGTCAGTTCAATCAGACTCGTTAGTTCATCTCCTGCTATCCCTCTGTTGCACCTTAAACCAATAGTATGAAATTAATTTCTCCATTTAATTCCTTGTACCCAGTCTCTAACCAGTCTATAGCAGATGCAGCACCTTTAGATAAGCCATCAAAGCTCTTAAGAAGTAAATGGTGAGTTCTAAGCCTGAAATGGTTTTTAAAGAGATTAGCAAGATACTGAACTTAAAAATTGAAGCAGATCCTGAAATGCCATTAATGTTAATATTTTATGTAAAGAAATGGAACATTAAAGATTTAATAATAAATTTGGTAACAGCAGCAAAACTGAGACTAGCAAAGAATTGGAAGGAGAAATGGGATCTTTAGTTAACTGAATGGTATAAAGAAATTTGGAATATAGCTGTTAATGATAAATCGAACATGGGATTAGGGTGAAAAAATGACTGATAAAGAAGAATTATTTTAATGACCTATGGGGTTTGTTTATTGAATATGAACTAATAAAAGGGAAAGGTGTTAAATCTTTGGTTGATTCAATGCAGTTTTGGATGGAAGGGGGAATTCCCAAAAGAGCAGAAAGTTAGAAACAGAAGTAAAGAAGAAGAAAGAAATGGTGGAGTGAACTGCTTGTGTTGTGTTGTGTTTTTTATATATAAGAGGTTTTTTATTTTGGGTTTATCCCCTTAAATTTTGATGATGTACTTTATATTTGCATTGTTATTATTTATTATTTATAATAAGCTTATTATTTATAAAGGAAGATGCTTCTGAACAAACCAGTCACAAATATTTAAACATTTTCAATTGTTTTATGCCATGTTTCATATTGGGTGATCTCTTTGCAGCATTCCATTCTCTCAGAATGAGGATGGTGGGTTGGACTGACCTTTGAAATCAATCTTAGACGTTCTTACATGCCAGAACTATTCCAGGCAGTGTACAAAACAAATCTCGGTCTAGTTGTAAATTATACCCAGATAAACACAAGGGGATTATCAACATGCCAATTTCACATGCAGTGTAGCAAAAAGGTGGAAATAGGTAATGCAAACTGAGCTTATGAGTCCTAATCCATTAAAAAACAGAATTAGGAAAAGAAGAAATATAATCCAGGAGTCCTAATGCATATTGGAGACAAGTTGAAGATAATTTAGAATCATGAAATCCAGGGAGATACTGGGATTAGGTGATTTCTGGAAGGATTCACACTTGATAGGGGAGAGGTAGAACATTTTGAAAGTCACGCCCCTACAAACGATGTGGAGGAGCACTTACATCGTCTTGGTCTCGCATGGCATTAAGGCGCTCGAGCTCTTTGACCCAGTAGCGTGCCTCTTCTTCAGGAATATCTGCAAACAGAGGGAAAGACAGACACCACAATTCAGACCATTAACAAAATAATATAACTGACAGAATCAAATCATAACACTCTCCTGTACTCTACCTCCTGCAGGCCCAGGACCCTTCCTTGCATAAAAACATTTATGAGATGATGATGATGATGATGATGATGATGATATGATGATTAATGAGATTATTTATGAGATTATTCATATTTATTTATGAGAGCCAGTGTGGTGTAGTGGTTAAGAGCTGGGACTGGGACTCAGGTGATCTGGGTTCTGGTCCCTGCTCGGCCATGGAGCCAACTGGGTGGCTTTGGGCCAGTCACAGACTCTCAGCCCAACCTACCTCACAGGGTTGTTGTTGTGGGGATAAGATGGAGGAGGAGAATTATGTAAGCTGCCTTGAGCCCTTTGTAGGAAAAAGGCAAGATATAAATCCAAAAATAAATAAAATAAATAAAAATAAATAACATGCAGTGAATAAGATGCAGGGAACAGTGCTTAAATTTAGGTGCAGTGTTTGCATTTATGTAAGAAGATAAAGTGAAAATAGTGTGAGATGCCCTTTGATGAGGGGATCATGGGGCCTTTGGCCATTAGATGTCAAGGGCTTCCCTGAAGCAAAAATTGCATGGATCCATGGCGTGTACAGCCCTGTGCAAAAAATCTGCGTCCAGGTGCGCAATGTTTTGCACCAGGAACAGCAGAATTCTGCAGCGTGAATCTGTTATCGGGACCTAGAAGGTGAGATAGTGTCAGAACTTCAGTTCAGCTGGTCCTGCAGTGGCACCATGGATACATTGGCAGAGCAATGCAGGTTTCAGAGAGAAGCCAGGGAGTGCACCTGGAAAGTTTTGAGTGCAAAGCCTTTCCCTCTTCCTGGGTGTGTATACATTATGCCTTGTGCATTTCAATGAAACAGATAAAAAGGAAATCTTGGGGGTTGGGGAAAAGAGCCTTGTTTTCCCTGACCCTTAGTTGCTATCATACCGAGGGGGAGCTCAAAGCGGGTGTCCAAAAGGATGCGGTGGAAGGTGGGGTCCTTGGTGCCAGAGATTTCATTGTCGGTCATAATGACATGGGAGTCGAGGGTTAGCCATTCCCCAGGCCCATCCTGGTAGTTCAGGAAGACAGAAAAGAACTTAAGCACGCTAGAAGAGCCCTGCTCAAGCAGACAGAAGCTGGAGCATTTGAGTGCGTCATGGGTGCAAATTCGAGCGCGGCATTCTGTCCACACCATGGTCCCACAGTGCTCTCCCACCCATGTCCCCCAGCAAGTGGTACACAGAGGCCTTCCAGTGCTGGAAGCAACATACATCTGGCTACTGATAGACTTATTCTCCATGAACTGGACATTTGGATTCATCCCATCAGTTGCAAACTCTCTACCAACAAAGAATAATTTCCCCCCAGAATGAATCACCCTTTTCCTCCACGAAAGTGTTCCAAATGATGAAGCCTTTCATTGCAGAAGCACTTCCACAATCCCCTCCCCCATCATCTTGGGTGGCTTTTGTCTTCATTTTTCTGAGTCAAACAATAAGACCCTTTTGGGGACGGGCGGAGATACCAGAATACAGAATAGATCTTGTATTCTCACCTTTTCCACCTGGTATTCTCCCTTTGACAACAACCCCTATCATCCTCAGACAGCAGGGAAATTGTCTAGGGATGATGGGAGTTGCATTCCAACCAGTCTGAAGGCATCACATCCTTACCCAGTGAAACAGGTCCCTCCAATGTGATGCCTTGGAACAGGTGGGAACAGGTGTCTTGGGTAGGAACAGGTGTCTCTCCCCCACCCCAAAGTCCCAAGTCCACCCTCTGGAAAGAGGCTCTATACACACCTCATTGGATTGCCGGATGGTGCTTAGGGGGATCCACACGGTGCCCACCATGGTGTCCCAGATAAGACCTTTGTTCCACACTTCTACTGTCAGCCCAAGGTCCAGCCTGTTGATCTCACTGCAAAAGAGGCATCCTTCCCCTCAGCCTGTGACATTTCGTGACAATGCTCTACCACACCCTCAGTCACAGACCTCCAGGGTCCTTGCAAATTTGTTCTCTTGACTAGGCAGACCTCACCTAGGATACTGGCTTCAGTTCTGAGCACCACACTTTCAGAAAGATGCAGAAAAATTAGAACCGGTCCAGAGGAGGGCAACAAAGAGACTGAGGGAACTGGGCAAGTTCAGCCTTGAGAAGAGAAGACTGAGGGGAGACGAGCTTTCTCTCCCTAAGTCCCTCAAAGGCTGTCACAAAGAGGGAGGTCAAGATCTCTTCTTGCTAATGCCAGAGTGCAGGACACGGAATCAATTTTCGGCAACCCAGATTCAGGCTGCACATCAGGAAAAGCTTCCTCATGGTCAGAGCAACACGACCGTGGAAGCAGCTGCCTAGAGAGGTGGTGGGCTCTCCCACACTGGGGACATTCACAAAGAAGCTGGACAGCCACCTGAGCGGGATGATGTAAACTGTTGTCCTGCAACTCTTCTATGCTATGATCCTATGATTCTAGATGGAGTCACTAAAGCAGTCAGGGTGAGCTTAGGTGGACTCCAGGGGATGGTGGAGGACAGGAAGGCCTGGAGGAATGTTGTCCATAGGGTCGCGGTGGGACGGGTGCGACTTCGCCACTAACAAGCAAGCACATTTGATTCTCTTTCCTTGTACTTCCTCATCTCACTCATTAATAAAGATGTTGAAGAGCACTGGGCCCAGGACTGAACCCTGTGGCACCCCACCGGTTACCTCCATCCAATTTGAGAAGGTGTCATTGATGAGTGTTCTATGTGACCAATTTAGCAGCCAATTTTGATCTACCTAATAGTTTTTCCATCTAGTTCAGTTTTTGCTAATTATCATGTGGCTTTATGTCAAAAGCTTTGCTAAAGTCTAGGTATATTATGTCCATTTGGGAGGTTACCCAGTCAAAGAATGAGATTAAATTAGTCTGACAGGATTTCATTTGATAAGCCCATGCTGGCTCCTATTAATCACTGCATTTCCTTCAAGAGGCTTGCAAATGGATTTTTAAATTAGCTCCAGAATTTTTCCAGGGATTGACATCAGACTGTCTGTAGTTCCCAGCTTCATCTTCCCCCCCCCGCCCTTTTTTGAAGACTGGGACAACATGAGCCCGTCCCCAGTGGTCTGGCACTTCTCCCGTTTTCCAGGATTGATCAAAGATAATTGCCAGTGTTTCTGAGAGTCCCTCCACTAGCCATTTTATGACTCTGGGCTGGCGGTGATCGGGCCCTGGAGCTTTGAAAGTGTTTCTTCCACCTAGGTATTCCTTGTCCATTTGTCTGTTAATTTTGGGCTGCCATCTATAGAGGGAAACTATAGAGGGAGGGTTATTCACACAGAGGGTCTGAGAGGTGACGGGGGGTGGGGGACATCCTTGACTTGGTCTTGACCAACAGGGAAGAGTTGATAGATGGGGTACACATTTGGGGAGCTCTGGATGCGAGTGATCACGCCATCCTTTGCTTTGAGATCAGGGGACTGGGGACGTGCAGCAGGTCGAGCACCAGAAGCTGGGATTTCAAGAGGGCCAACTTTGGCCATTGAAGGCCAGACTGGGGAAAGTCTCCTGGGACAGGTTACTGGAAGGCAAGAGAGTTGAGGAGGGGTGGATGGCACTCAAAAGGGAGGTTTTGGAGGCGCAAGCCTTGACGATACCTCTAGTCAGTAAGGTATCTATTTGGCAAATAGACAAAAGGGTATAACAGGAGAAGGAGGCCCGTTGCAGAAGGATTCTTCACAAGACTAAGGCTGATTACGAGTTTAGACTGGCAAAGAATATCAAGAGCAACAAAAAGGGCCTCTTTCAGCATATAAATAGCAAGAGGAAGAGGAATCAAGTAGTGGGACCACTAAATAAGGAGGAAGGAGATCCAGTGACTGATACAAGGGAACAGGCACAGATGCTAAATGACTGTTTTGCCTCTGTATTCTCCCCAAAGCAGGATGGGGGATATCCGAATAGGAGATTAGATGAGGCTGGGGACTTAGGGGCACAGATTAGAGTCACCCCCCCCCTGAAGTCGAGGGGCTCCTCAGAGCATTGGACATTACAAAGGCACCAGGCCCTGGCGGGTTACACCCAGGAGTACTTAGAGAGTTGGCAGGGGTTCTCTCATGCCCGCTGGCCTCCATCTTTGAGACCTCGTGGAGAACGGGTGAAGTTCCAGAGGACTGGAGGGTGGCGTCAGTGGTCCCAATTTTCAAAAAGGGTAGTAGAAGGGACATGGGGAATTATAGACCAGTAAGCCTTACGTCCATTGTAGGAAAAACAATGGAAAGGCTCAGAATAGAGAGAGATCCAGTGATGCTAGATAGGGAAGGGAGGCTGGCGGCCACACAACATGGCTTCCACAAAAACAGGTCCTGGCAGACAAACCTTGTGCGATTCTATGACAAGGTTTCGAGGTGGCTGGATGGAGGGGGTGCAGTGCTCAGTTCTGGGCCCCTCATTATAGGAAGGATATAGCCAGGTTAGAGTCAGTGCAGTGAAGGGCCACAAGGCTGGTGGCCGGTTTGTAGGGGAAGCCGTATGAGGCGAGACTGAGGGAACTGGGTCTCTTCAGCCTGGAGAAGAGGAGACTCAGGGGATCTGTTGGTGGCATACAGGTGTGTGAGGGGGTGTCACAGGGAGGTGGGCAGAGACCTGTTCTCCCCTGCAGAGGAAGGCAGGACGGGCTCCAGCGGAGTCAAGCTCATGGAACCACGGTTCAATTTGGATGCCAGGAAGCATTTCCTGACACGATTCCGAGGGTGTGGAATGGGCTTCCCCGGGAGGTGGTTGAGGCCCCATCGGTGGGGGTGTTCAATGATAGGCTGGACATGCACATGGTGGGCACGTCGTGAGCGGAGCCGACTGGAGCCGGGGGTCAGACTAGATGGCCCAGGAGACCCCATCTGACTCGCTCTGCTTCTCTGTTTCTATGTGTTGTTCGTCTCCTATACTCTGGGCATGGATCTAGAGACATTATGCAATATTGGCTTTGGCAAATGGGGTGGCATAGAAGTCTACTAAATAAATAAATATTAAAATTATTTAACTTTCCAAGTTGTCTAAATGCTTTTACAGGGAGCCCTCTACACACTTTCTATTCCTGCATGTCTTTCTTTTCTGTTGTTTCCCCTTCTGGAAATTAAATAGATAAAGTCTGTATGTGCACTCACAAAAGGCTACACTTCCCAAATAATTATAATTTTGCTGTTGTATGCTGCATGGAGAGTCTATCTGAACTACTTTGTGGCCTATAAATAAGATAAAATAACATTCTTGATACAATCTGATGTACAGTTTATTAAGAATCTTTCGGTATAGCATTCTATTACCGATACTCTGGAGCGCTTGTGTATTTCAGTGAATCTCTGCATGAAAATAATATCGGTGCAACCAGAGTTTTACCTGCATTAAAGGCTACTATGGGCCAGGTGTCTATCAATGCAACCTACATGCTGAGGTAAGAAGAGAGGGGGGATGTAGCCTCAACTACAGAACTGTTGCCCGAGCCAACTCACAACATGAAGTCTTGCTCCCAGCACGGAAGGTTTCCTCGTACTGCGATTGTCGTACTCTTCACATTCTGCACTTTGAGGGTCACGTAGGTGTTGAACTTTTCTACCAAAAGAAGAGCAATACACTAAAGAGAATGTATTGATGGTGTGCCAGAGGAACATCTGGCAGAAGAAAATGCATGTAACTGTGAACATGACATGGCATCTTCCCTCAGTCTGCCACCCCAGGCGGTTTTCAGGAAGGATTTAATATTCTTGTCCTCTCTGAATCTCCCTCTTCAGTTCTGACCCCCAGCCCTTGTTCCCCTTGGATATTCCTAGCTCCTGGAGTATGAATGTTAGAAGGCCCTTGAGTTCCACCATTCTGCTCCCATAATGGTTAACCATTAACATAATGGCTGTTATTTTCACATGACGCCAGTCCCCTTCCAGCTCCACTGGCTTCCGGTTGAAGTCCGGGCCCAATTCAAGGTGCTGGTCTTGACCTATAAAGCCCTGAACGGCTTGGGACCAGGATACCTGAAGGAACATCTCCTTCCTTATATGCCCTCACGCCCCTTAAGATCAGTGGGAGAAGCCCTGCTCTAGGAACCCTCCCTGAAGGAGGTAAAAGGATATCAATTTGGAATTGGGCCTTCTCTGCGATGGTGCCCAGACTCTGGAATGCACTTTCCAGAGAGCTACACCTCATTCGCTTTTCGCGGTAGGTCAAAACCCTTCTATTTAAGTGGTATTTTAAAAGTTAATAGTTTTAATGATTCTACCAGTCACTTTTGCTTTGTTCTATACTGATTTAATTTGATTAATTTGATGTTTATTTATTGTTTCATATGGTTTTACTGTTTTAATTTATTAGATGTTTTAAATTGTTTTTAAATGGCTGTAAGTCATCCTGAGATATTTATATAAAGGACAGCATACGAAAGCTTTTAATAAATAAATCATAAAGCAGATGCCGCAGGAAACCCATCCAGAAAACATGAAAGTACTATGCCCTCTAAAGCCAGCAAGTCAAGAGGTGTGGCTGGAATGCAACCCATTGTAATTGACTTCAATGGAAGGGGGACTTAAGGGACTTAATTGATTTCCTGGAACTCAATCCTCATTAAGTTGTCAAAATGCTCGTTTTACTCATTATTCTACTGAGATGCTCCTGGTGGGTGGCCCCTTACTTAAGAAACCAAACTCTCAGGAGTGCGTTAGGTGGCACTTCTACAAAAGTTCTTCCCCCTAAGGAGGTTAAAGGGGAGGTTGCAAAGAGCATGGCCTTTTCAGTGGTGGCACCAACAATATGGAGTCCTCCACCATCAGAGATTTGTCAGACTGAGTTTTAGGTGGCCAACAAAAACTTTGCTCTTCCAGCACAACAATGGCACTACTAAGATAATTTATGTGAATTTGCACTGGTTTTGATATATCAAGTTTTATTTCTATTTCACTATGGATATGTGCTCATGTCCTGTTTATTTACTATGCTATTTTAATTGTATTATTTTATTTAATAATAAATAATTACAATTTATTTACAATTATTGTTAAATAATTGTATTATTTCATTTGTCACTCATTGGACTTTTATTGCAATGGCTTCCCAGAGAGGGGGATTCTAACAGGTGACTTCCAAACAAATTCAATTAATACTGATAATATGCTTTCCCATTTAGGATAAGGAACAAAAGACAAGATGACTCACCTTGGGGGCCATCAAACTTGGCTTTTTTCACTGGAGGAAGAAGGAGAAGACAAGAAAGTTAGTGCTTGGGCCAAGATGGATTTTTCAGCTGGATAGGATTACGCCTTGTCTCCTTGTTTCGAAGCTTCACACCATCCTGAGAACTCAAACCCAGAAGAGCCAAGCTCCAAAGGGATGCAGCTCCTTCCTCTCTTAATGGCTCCAGTGAGAGAAAGGGATGGGACCATTTAGATGCCAGTATCCCTCCTTTTGGGATTGCCGGAACCAAAGCAGCAACTGTGTGGAAGGGTGGAAGTGGCTTGGAGACTGTTGGGGGGAAGGAGAGGAAGTCCAGGATTGTGGAAAATGACTTGGAGGCTCACAGGCCCTAAAAATCTGACTGGGGATGTTCGTCCACTAATCTGCCAGAGCAAATACAGAGAGCAGCCAAGACAAAAACATGCCTTCTTCTTTCTACTGACAAAAGCAGTTCCAGGGGTAGCAAAAGCATAAGAACAAAGGAGAAGGCTTGTTAGAAACCCACCCAGTCCAGCACTCTGCACACACGGTGGCCACCCAGCTGCCCACAGGCTCCCCTAAGCGGGACGGGTGCAAGACCTCCTCCTGCCCAGCCCCTCAGCAATGGATGTATGCAGCTGTGCCACCCCTGGTGAAGGAGGGAGCCCATGGCCAGCAAGGCAGGCAGCCACGGATAGCTGCCTCCCTCAAGGAGCTGTCCAACCCCCTTGTAAAACCATCTGGTTCAGAGTCATAGCCCCTGAATTGGCTAAGACTCCACGGGCCTCCAAAGGACTCGAATTCATTTGGAATTAGCAGAGGCCATTCTGTGTATGGAAGCAAACAGCAGCTCCATTTATTGTAAACTCAAACATCTCAGCTGTTCTGTTATTTACCCAAAAGCTGATGTTTAAAGCTTTGAAACTGAGCACTCAAGGCTTATCTTGTGCCCAGCAAGGATCTGTGGAAAAAGACTAAATCAGTCTCCATCCTCACTCTGCAATTTTCACTTCCACTTTAATCAGAACTGAGTGAGGACCAATGGCAATGTGTGTATCTTATTTCAACTTGCCTGGAATTTCTCCAATCCAAAATTTTTTCCTCTAGTTTCACCTTAAGGAGAGGAATGGGGGTCTCTTTCAGTTCAATATTACCTTATTTTATTCCATTTGCATACTGCCCAATAGCAAAGGCTATCTGGCCATGTTAGCCTTCATTCACATTTTTAAAATGTCAAGTCCTTTCTCTTCAAAAGATAAGCATAATATGATTCTGTAGCTTGCCTCAGGAACAGAACGAATGCGTCTCTTTGCAGAGATCCAAGGCCGGGTATTCCAGAGCTGTGCATTCAGGCCTCTGTATGGATGAATCCACCCATTTTGGTTTCTCCCACATTCAAGGCATTGTTTTGTTTGAGATTTCGAGTCCTGTTTAGCCTCAATGTGGAGAACTTTGTGAATTTGCTATCCAAACTGCACTGGTAAGATCAAAATCCTCATCCTTCTGGTAGTGATTCCCAGGAAAATTTAACTATAACATCCATCATTGGGTTGGAAAAAGCCTGTGCTATTTATTTACGTTTTATACTGCCCAATAGCTCTCTTGGCACTTTAAGACACAATGAGAGTATAGGGTAAAATATACCACATTATAAACATCACAAAAAGTTTGCCATACAAAATTAAAAACCTATAAGAATTTCAATAATGTAAGGTAACTCTTGGGTCTGATGAAGCAACAAAAAAGCTTCTGTAAATATGTCTTATGCCTACTTTACTGGTAAGATGGCCAAGAGACCAAGTGAGATCCATTTCTCTTGTTCCAGAAAATCATTAACCTAATTCTGAGCCATTGGTGTGACGCTGCTTTTTTCAGCTGTCATGAAGCCTCCGGGAAGTGAGGACGGATTTCCAGCTTGCCCTCCCACGCTCTTAAGTGACTCAGGAACTGGTTGAGAACAGGCTGTCTTCTCTGCAGACTTTGCATCTCTTTGATTGGATATCCCAAAATTTAACACACACAAACAAGCATCAGTTTGCATTAGAACACATTAGCTCCCCATCTAGGCTACTAGTAACCAGTTGGCATAAGTTATCTAACCTGGTCCATACAGAACAACCTGTCATAGGTAGCTAGCAATGGTGGGATGCCATGTTTTCTGAATTTAGTCTGTTTTACCCAGAGTGGTTTGGGGTCCCCCCACACTGAGCATTTTATCCAGCACCCACTGCCCTTTCAACACCCCCATTTAAAGGAGCCCCAGAGTTCAGAGGCAAGAGTTCAAAAAGGCAAGAGTTTGCGCCTGACAAAAAGGGGCAAGTTTTCACCTGCCCAAGCTGATAGTTTTGGGGATGAGATTCAAAATGTGCATTACCTTGAGAACTATCAGGGCAAAAGAAAAACAGCAACAACATGAGGATCACATTAAAAAGGGAGGACCAATCCTGCCACACCTTTTTCATGAGCAATGGCTGCTCCTGCCTTTGTTTGGTCTGGAAAGCTCGCCTTTTTTTTAATTTAAAGCGTTTATATACTGTTTGACTAGCACAACAATCTCAAAACATTTTTCAGCTGGCTTTTGACATTTGTCAAGGAAAGCAAAGTGGGGAAATGTCCATTTGGACCCTCTCAGGGTGCCTTCAGCTTCATGACAGCTTTTCTCACTCTGATTCATGTAACACCTTCCCTCATTAAGATTTCTGGTGAACTAAAAGCCGTCACAAAACCACGGAGACATTTTGCTTGGTGCCAATACAGGTGGTAGTACAGATTTCTGTCTTTTCTCTTTTTCTGCCTTCGAGAAATTAGGCTTATGTAAGAGGATTCTTGTGGTTCTTTTTTCAGTCATTTCCATATTAATTCCTAATTAATTCCTAACTGTAAAGGTGCAAGTCTTTCAGCTCCGTTTGGAAGCTCTTCAGGGGCTTAATGCCTTGCACTGCACAATAAGAATATAATAATAAATTCTAGACATACATGCAGTCTCTTTCTGTAGGTTCTGTGCTCTACTTAACAATGCATGGACAGATTTCGGAGCCAAATCAAGACAAGCCACCTGGTGTAAAATCCATTTTAAGCCTGGAACACATTGTTACAAACATCCACCCTATTGTTAAAAAAAAAGAACGAGTCTGATCTACATAGCCACAGCACCAGGATAGCTCTTAAGAGGCAACAGTCCAGGAGGAATGGCAGGTTCGCCCATCAAATTGCATCAAGGTTTTTTAAAAATATTATTATTATTATTAATAATAATAAAATATTATTATTAAGAAATATATATTATTTCTGAGGAGCAGGCCAGTGGAAGTCATGTTACATCGAGATGCCCTTCCCTTCCTGTTTGCTGGAGACATCCAGCCATTTTACCTTTCTAGGTGGTTAGAGAGATGTCGCGTTCTCACCTGTGGAGACTTCCTTTGAGTCGAAGGGTCCCTTTAGCTCAGGGGCTCTGCAGAGCCAACAGCTGCTATTTCCTGGCTTTTGCACAGCTTCCCCCCATCCTAAAAGGCTGAAATCCCTCTCCTAAGAACCAGCTTGACTTGCAGTAACATGGGGCAGAACCGCTGGAATTTCGGTTCCATCGCCAGTCGGAGGGTTAACCAGCCTCTCAGAATTGTTCTGAGAATCAAATAGAGAGGAGGAGAATTGCAAGCTGCTTTGGATTTCTTGACATGCACATGGTGGGCATGTCATGAGCGGAGCCGGCTGGAGTCGGGGGTCAGACTAGATGGCCCAGGAGGTCCCCTCTGACTCGCTCTGTTTCTATGTTTCTGTTTCACCCTGCCCCTTTTTTCTTTGGAGTCACCCATCACTGGAATGTGGTCCTTGCAAAATTCTGGGGCAGAGTATGGGATGAAAGGACTTCCTTGGACAGCAGCTTGTACTGCCCCATCTGTCTGGGGCAGCTATCAAACCGGCAAATAGAAATCACCCAGAAAAGCCAGTCCTGCACACAATCACGCAGTCCAAAAAACAGCTCCAAAGCTGGTCCAGAACTGAAAATCCCACTACTGAACAAGACTGTCCTTCCAAGGATTTTATTTATGCATGTATCTTAATACCCTATTTCCTCCAAAATAAGACCTAACTGGAAAATAAGCCCTAGCATGATTTTTCAGGATGCTCGTAATATAAGCCCTACCCCCAAAATAAGCCCAGTTAAGATCATCAGCCAGTATGTGTGTTGCAACACACGATGGATGGATTGAATTCTAAAATAATAATATATTATTAAATATAAATAAATAATATTATTTATGGACATTAATACTTAAAATAATATAAATTATAATTAAGTATTTCTAAATACCCAAGCGGGCCCCTTTGGACAAGAGGTAAACACCTATGGAAAGAGATGAACTTGAGACTCATTGCCGAATGACCAATTGGAATACAGACATGAGCATGAATAACATGCGCACTTGATAATGAACAGGCGTGTTTCATAATTCAATACATCATGTGTTGCAGCAGATGTACTTAATGCACTCATCTGTTGCCACTCCTGTCTCGTAAGTCTTCAATTAACACTTGATTCAATGGTAGATTTAAAGGGAATAATATTTTGACCCCCAGACAAGAGGAGTGCAAAAAGAAAGAGCGATTCCGTTGAGTACAAGAAAGGAATTGTGAAGGACTCTTGGGGCAAGAATCTTATGGCTTTTGTAAGAAAAAAAATAAGGCATCACCTGCAAATAAGCCCTAGTGCATCTTTTGGAGCAAAAATTAATATAAGACCTGGTCTTATTTTCGGGGAACCACAGTATTTATATACCGCCCCATTCCCATAGGCTCCGGGCAGTTTACAAGAAATTAACCCAACTGCGAATACCATTGACTAATGCAACATATTAAGGCTGTTTCAAGCATTGAGGGTGGCCTCTGGCTGCTCTACCAAGAGAGGACTGTCCTGTGAATGTGGACACTGGTCCACACTTGTGAACTCATGGGGCCACTCCCATGGGGATTCTCCCCCCCTTTCCCCGCCCCCCTTGGGGGCTCCTCGCCTGTTCCAAGCTCTCTGGCACCAC